TGAAAAGGTTTGAGAATTTCAGACTAGATAGGTAAAAGCTGAACAAAGGGACCACTCAGAATTTGTTTTACTCAGTGGAGCTTCTCATTTAATCCCCCCAGTTCTAATTCTAGCTGAAGTCGCTTGCCTCAGCCTGTGCTGCCACTTAAATTACAGACCTCTGATGATTTACATTCGTTCTGTCACAGTGGCTTTGTTAGTTATATCTGACGTTATCACCGATTTTCCCAGCACCCATGGTTGTGCCCAGGGTGTGCAGCTCCCTTTCTGCTGAGAGCAGGGTCTCCAAAGGTTTCAATATTGTGCTGCCCATAGGCAAATTTTACTACTCCTGGTATTGAACAACTGCAGAGCTACCAGCTGGTTACATGATTTAGGATTTGTACAGTTCTACTGGGTCCTAGAAACCCTCTGTTTCAGTTTGTGTTTTGTATGAAATATTCTGTTTTCTCCTATATTGCTAAATTCAGCTCTAACAACCAAATACTTAGATTATTGCTTCTGCTTGCAGTACAGACTCTTCTTCTAGAATATTCCTACTCCTGATGAAAGGGCTGAGCTTTGATTTAGATACAAAATGTCTGGTACCTGTCTCTGATGTTCCACTGCTTCCCCAGAATATTGCAGTTTGCACATGGGGGGGGGGGGGGGGGGGAGATAAAGCCAAAAATCTTTGGGATGCAGCATAGTGAAATGTGCTATAGATTTCCACAGCCAATTAATACCAAAATGACACATTGCCACCACCTGCAGCCCTATAATGTGACAGCGAAGGGACTGATGGAGTGGGGTCCACCAGCACCTAACTTGCACACAACCCACTGTGTATGCAAAAGGTCTTGGGGGCCAAGTGAGGTTTCGTGCTCCTCTGGATGAGAGCCTTGGACCTCTTGCTGTTCTGACTATGCTTACGTGGCAGTCCTAGAAAGTATTTAGAGGCTTGGGCCGGTTTGAAGAACCTAGTTGTGATTAAAAAAAGAGGGGCAGGCATATGAAGCTATTGCATGTCTGGAGTTTGTGGTAGGTCTCTTCAGAAAGGAAACGGGCAGATAAAACACAGTTGAACAGAGACTGGATTGTTCTGGAAAGGAAACAGAAATTTGCTTTTAAATAGATATCTGGTAGAGAGCTGCAGCATGCCTCACCCTCTGCTGCACCGCAGATTTGATATGCTTTCCAAAATCAAACAGCTTAAGGTTTGAGTCACCCTCCATTAAGTGGAACAAAATGAAAATGCCAACACTTTTGGAACATGTTGGTGTGGGACCTAAATTGAAAACAAACATAGCACTGAGCTGCCCTTCTCAATGCAAATTGAGAGAAAGAAGCTGTTCCATAAAGTGGGGAATTTGGAGGACTGGGTCTTCTGCATCGCTCTGTGTTGGGGAAAAAGTACTGGACGACAGATAAGTTCAGTGTCTGTTGAGTGGGATCTGCTCCTTGACTTGTTTCTGATGTTACAGTTATCACTTGTTTCTTATTTATCTTGTTCAGTACTCAAAAAGCTGATTCGCAGCAGGAGGTCTGACAACTTGGTGCAGAACAATCTGGGACATCAGTGAGTGCAATGCAGCCCTCGGGGATGGGGTGTGGGTCTCAGCTTCTCTTCCCATCTGAGCGCAGCCTGTCTGGTGGGAGGAGGGAGGAAGGTGGGAGAAAGGGGTTTATTGTGAAATATCCTGGAGTGCAGCCAGGACTGGGGAGCTGCTATGGCAGATGCTGTGCCTGCAGTCTCACCGTTACCTGTTATTGGATTCCCTCCTCCGCAGGTCGCTGCAGGGGAGCATGCAGGTGGTAGGAGGTCTGGCCATCCGCAGGCATCTGGGAGGCTAAGGCTACAGGAAAATGGTATTAAATTGGGAATCCGAAGACATCTGCTCAGAAATGCACCAGAGGCTGTGTGTGGAAAGAGCAGGGAGTCAGCAGGAGCACACAATGCTGGGGTTTGCAAATGGGATGAGGTTCCCCACATAATCCTTAGTGCAAAATATGCTTGATACTGTTTCAGCAGGGTTGTCATTTCCAGCTTAATAAATTTAAGACCCATGGTGATTGCCTCTGAAAGTAGCTATCAATTCTGTTCTGTGCAAAAAACCAGTGCAGGCACTGCCTGCTTTTGGAGTGTGGTCATACTCAGTGCACCTTCCTGAGTGCACCCCACCATGACCAGAGCATCTTATAAGTATGATGTGACATGTTTGTTTAGACTGGTGGCATGAGGGCAGGAGCTATCGTAGCTCTCAGTGGGTGCTACTTGAATGAATAAGTCCACCGTGGCTTCAGACAGGTCTCTCCTCAGGTGAGGTGGGTGAGCAGTTCGTACATTATCTGTTTTTTGTGGAGGAGCTATGACTAAGGTTATCAGGAGAAGCAAAATAGGAGAGCAGATGGGCCTTATTTGCTTGGTATTGCAACCAGTGGGAAGGTTGCTGTCTTCTGATAGGAGCCACCCAGGATGTCACACATAGAGACCCCCTTGACTGCACTGCCATAAGAGCAAGGTCCTGTTCTATTTCCAGGCAGATGGAGGGTGGCCTACAGGCAGGTGTTGTGGGATCTATTGCTCTGTGGTGTTTCCCAGAACTTACAGCATGCTGGCTGTGGAGGCTCCTTTGAATCACAGAATAGTTTGGGTTGGAAGGGACCTGCAAAGCTCATCTAGTCCAACCACCTGCAGTGAGCAGGGACATCTTCAACCAGATCAGGTTACTCAGAACCACATCCAGCTTGGCCTTGGATGTCTCCAGGGATGGTCCATCTACTCCCTCACTTGTGGTATTTGCCACCAAAGGAGATGGTGGCACAAGGATGTGCCCCATTGGTGTACATAGGATCATAGAATCAACTAGAGATGTTACCCAATCCCCACTATGACCATATCCCCACCATACTGGCCTCCCACATGATGACAAAGGCATAAGGTAAATAGATTGTCCACTTAAAGACAGGATACTGCATTTAGTTTATTTCTGCAACATGGAGTGATGGAAAGTCACTGCAGCCTGATAGTTGTGGACATGAGACTAGATCTCCACTCTGATTAATGATTTCTACCTCTTAAAAGAAAGGCTTTTTAATGTTTTAAATACCTGTTTCATAATCATCAGAGTTTTCAGGTTGTACAATAGGGCTGATTAATGTGCACCTCGGGTGTGCTGGAGGCTCACGTTTATTACACACACTGTGCACCCATTAATCAGCAGTGTGACACAGTCTGTCGTGCTGTATTGCTTAATTACGTTGTCTCCCCCCACCCAGGGCTTATGTATTGTGCAAAGCCATAAATACTTCAAGAGCCCCATTTGCACTGAAATCAATAGGAGTTTTGCCATTGTACTGGGATGAGAGCAGGGCTTTACTGTAAAAATAACTAACAGGGACTTTCAAGTGGGAAGAGGGGCAGCAAAGGACATGTGAGTTATGAAAGATCAAACTCAAAGGGGATCTGAAAAGATTACAGAATAAACAAATATATTAAAGGAGGCGTAAGAGTGGCAGTGATAGAGGGTAAAATGAAAATTGGACAAGAGGTAAAAATAAGAGACTTCAAGTGGATAAAGAATAAGACGCGAATGAGGCAATGGGGAGTCTGCAAGATGGAAAGGGTAATTTTATAACAGAAGCAGCAGACTTTGTTGAATAAATAAATGAATTGCGACTGTTTCCACAGAGGAGAGTGGGAGAAATTCAATATATTGGAGACAGTGTTCTCGGGGCAGAGGAAGGGACGTGTGTGAAGCAAAAAGGGGAAAACAGGAGTAAGCCCACCACTGTGGCACAAGCACTGGACACTGTGGCTCTCTTTCTGGTTCTCCTGGGGATATGCTCTGCAATATGTAACTGTTCTGCTTCTCTTCTGTGCTTTAGCCAGGGTGGTAGTGGTCTCCTGGGACAAGGTTTGTCCTTTTTGTCCAGTGGTTTGGTAGGAGGCAGCCTGAGGAACTGTTCTGCTTCTGCAGGATTAAAGTCCCTAATCACCACCAAGAAACTGCTAGATTACCTGTCATTCCTGCACTGCAAGAGTAACTGAAAGGGCAAGGAATTTAACAACAAATTGGGTTTTGGTAGCTATACTTTTTGCCTTTATCTTGTAGAATGATTTGCCACAATAGGTATTTGACAGTGTTTGAGTCGGTCCATCCCTAGGTGTCTGTCAGCTGTCCATCACAGTTCTGGGACCTGTTTGAATGTATAATAGCAAAAGAAAGGTCTGCTGGGAATTGCTTTAATGGGCTAAATTAGCACTTGGTCAGTTTATGAGCACAGTGGCTGGCAGGATTTGGTACTATATTGGTTATTTGGATTTCTCTTGTTATGAATGCATGCTAAGTGTGGCAGAATAAAGAAGGGTGCATTAGAGCTAAATGAGTAAAGCAATGTAGTGCCAAGAGGCTGTAATACTAAACTTCAAGGTGTGTCATTTTGTGTCAGACAAGGACTGCTAAAACTGATCCTTTTTTACCACCTGTTTAGAACCAGGAAGAAACGTGAAAACATGAGGCATCTTTAAAGACTTCAGCTAAGGGCATTATGCTGGAATAGCTGCAGAATCCAAGTACTCCTATCTAGATTAAAGAATTAAAAATTTCCCTAAAGCTCATAGGTTAACACAGCAAATTCCAAACAATTAATTTGACAAGCTTACAAATTGAGTATCTCTGATTCCATATAAATCAAATGTAAATAACTAGGCAGGCAATTCTGGAATAAATGTTGGGAGGGAATGAAAAAGACAAAAAAGAGGAAACAAAACCTCCAAACCAGCAAACAGAAAAGAAAACATCCAAGCCTTGCAGGCTCCTGCTTGTAACTGGAGGGAAAACACAGTGCAAGAATGTCAATGGGAGATGAGCCCAGGAACCTTTTTAGCTTTAAAACCTTGTTGCCAGAATATTTTAGGACCACATTACCCTTTCTTTTCTTTAACCTGTGTCAAAATAACGTGAGCAGTTTGACTTGCAAGCCAGCCTGGGAGCTTGGCTAACTCTGGGGATGCTCCCAGGCAGAGACATCAACTCCGCAGGTGGCAAAGCACTTGATGAGACATGAAAGGATGAAGGGAGCCAGTACAGCCACATCACTGCAGGCTGGATTTGAGTACATAACCAGAAGCCTGGTGTGATCACCTTTTACTGCCGTGTTAAAAGCTTTGCGCTTTTCTCAGAGGGGCAATTCTAAATGCTAGTGCTGATTTTAGCCTAATTTTTGCAGTTTTAACTTGTATAGTGTCTAAAGGCATTGTAGCCCAACTTTGGGTAGGAATGAACCCAAGAAAAAAAGCAGTCTCCTCTTGCAGTTTATTAGTTGCTTTGTATTTAGTTCAGCTGCTGACATCCCAGTTCTTATAATTCATCCAACCCCCCAGAAAACATGAGCTAGTGAATAGAATGTTTAGAGTTGGAAGGGGCCCTAAAGCTCATCTAGTCCCAACCCCCTGCCATGGGCAGGGACACCTTCCTTGAGCAGGTTGCTCAAAATAAAAGTCTATGTAGTAACTAAAGTTCTTGTTGGGAGAGTTTGTGACCTGGGGCTCCAGTTCAGTCAGGGGATAAGCTCTGTCCATTTATATGCTTGAAACCTGCCTTCCAAAGTCAAGTGGAGCCAAGCTCCATGTGAAGCTTTGCACCTGCAGTTCACTTCTGCAGCCAATATGGGCAGCAGGTCTGGCTGCAGGGCCATGAAAACCAGCTGCAACTAGTCCTGGTAGTGCTCCTCTGGTTCATCGCACTGAGATAGTAATCTTCAGCCTCAGGTAGTGCTCAGGTTGCCTTGTACATGTCTGCACCCCACTGCAGCTCTGGTGGTGGAGGAAACCCACCCATATCTCTGTCACCAGAGCTGTGTCCTTCACAGACAGGCAGCTTCATGTCTTAAGGTGGTAGTCAAAGGTGAGCAGCAAGCAGAAGGTTATCTAGCCCCTGTGGATGCCAGGAGGGCATGGCTGGCCAGAAGAGACAAATACAGGTGTTAAGGAACCTTGGACCTATATACCTACTGTACATATATATTATAAGGCTATTACCATTTTTCTCTACTGAGTTATTCCTTCACTGTGGATGAAGAAATATTAGACCAAAGCATGTCATTTGTCTGTTTAAAAAGCTGTGTGGGCAAAGACCTGCTTACAGGGCTAGGAGTACTTTCTTTTAATAATAAATCTTTCATAAAATTAAGGCATTGACTTTACATCTCTATTAGGGTAATTTACTCCCCACAGTAATTTTGACTTAGTTTGTTCTACATGGAGTGATATTTTAATCATCCTTTCAGTGCTTATTGATGAGGGTTTGCTGAAAAAGATGAGAAGATTGGTTTGAAATTATCCCTTGTGAATTTAAAACAATAACAATGAAGAAAACACAGCCTAAACCAAATTAAGAAATGTAATGGACTTAATAAAAGGCTGATATGTTATTCGATGTACAAAATGACTGCAAGACTCGCTGTGGCAGGGCTGCATATACTCTAATCAAACTATGTTTTTTTATTTCTTTTTAATTGAACAGGCACAAGTGTTCCCCTCTCTAAAAGTAAATGATGAATGAGAGAAATGGTTTGCATTTTGTCCAATCACAAAATGCATTACCTTGACTCAAGCAGCATAGAAAAACTGTGCCGCCTTATACCCATCATCTAGGAATAATATGCATTTCCTCACTCACCAGGAGGCCCTTGGATTCAAAGGTTCCCTTTCATCATCTCTTGGCCCTTCCTTAGTTTGTGAAGGGGGGTAGCTTTCTTCAAAGGTAATTGTCAGGTCAGAGAAAGCAGAGTTATCTTCCTTGGACAGTAGGATCCCTGCAATACTGCAAGGGTACACCAGGGCATCCTTGAAGGCTGAAATCACAGCTTCAAATGACCACCTATATGGTTGGTTGTTTTTGACTAAACACGATGCAGTCTCCAGCATTTATTTTAAGTGGTAATCAACCAGACTGGAAAATAAAATGAAATCACAGTGCCAAACTCCTTAGATGGCTGAACTGTCCCAGAGGTTTGAGAATTTAGCCGGCCTCTGCTCAGTGAGAAGCCTTGGTAATCACATGCTAAACAAAAAACATCACAGGGTGTTTTGGCACTTGTCATTCCCTGGCACTGAGAAAGGTGTGTCGTTTTTAAAGAAAATATTTAATCTCAAAAGCTTTATTTTCAAGGTGGGAACTGAACAGTTGCACTTGGTGAGTCCTTCAAAAGTGCTGGTGATAGATAAAGCCGAGGTTTTGAGTGTGTCTGCTCCGAGGAGCAGAAGAAATCCAGGCGTGGCAGCCAGATCCCTTCTTGAGTTGTGTCCTGAAATCACTGGGTGGGTATGGGGGTTTTTCAGTTCTTCTTGTTTTAAACTGTGACTGCATGTTCCAGTGTCTTGCTAAGCAGCTGCTGAATGAAGCCCATACATACGCATACACCTATAGATGTATAAAGTGTACATATATTTGGCATAAGCTGTTCTGGGTCTGCCAGTGTCACTCTGGATTTGCCAGGTTATGGAAGCTGGCACTTTGGCCTGCTGCACAATTTGTGAAGTTTGCTAAATTCTTTGGAACTGCTTGGGATTTAAGGCCCTATTTGAGTGTAAAATGAGATTAGTTACAGTGAATAAAGCTGATCTGGCTGGTGCACCTTTCTTTCCATTTAACTAAATGGAATCAACTGATAGATGTGCAGTGTTAACCTGGTCATGGACATTTCACATGTGATCAGAGAAACACAGCCACTGGGAAGTTTGCCCATATAAAATGTAGTCTCTTTCCACTGTTTACTGGCTATGGGGTTGGTGTTTTATACTCAACATAGATGTGGTGAGGCTTGATCTCCATATAGCGTGAATAGTGAGAGGTGTCAATCCTGCTCACAATGCCAGCTGGATGCTTTGGCCACGGCAAGATGCTCTTTGGTGGGCGAGTGGGATCTGCAGGAGAAAACACTGAGCCGTGCCCTTTGCATCTGGGTTCAAGTATGAAGCTTGGCATTGGTTTAATTATACCTGTTTACTTTGTGTGGGCATATAATGAAATGTTTATGTGTATGGTTTGAAAGGCTCTCATGGAAAGTGGTTCAGAAGAGCTGCATGTTAATCCTGCCGATTCGCAATATCATGGCCTGGTATGATTAGATTAATCATCTGAGGACTCAAACTCTGTTCCATTTAATTGAAAGACCATGCAGGTGCTTGTTAAACGGTCAAACAGCACACACTAATGTCCAGCAACTTTGGTGTCTGTGCGCTGCAAAATGCGGTATTTCAGCTCCCCAAAGCTTTCCCTCCATTAGCTTTTCTGAAGTAATGCTTAACAAGAAAATATCTGCGAGATATTCTGTATGCTACTTGAATTTAATTATTTCTTCTCTGATTTGAACAGAGGGCATGTAATGTGTGCTTGTGTACTTCCATGGAAGTCTTAAATGGAAAGAATCAGTTTTGCCTCATCTGCATAGCCTGCTGAGGATGGACCTCAGTGTACAGATGTTGATGGCAATAAGATGAGCATTATCCAACCTATACCTCGTACCATACAGGTAGAGAGGTATGTCTGGATCAGCTGTGCTACTTCTGGCATGCCCTGAGGGTTTAATTTCCAGACTTTCATTTCCTCGCTCTATTTTCAGCCACTATTAACTTTAAAAGCGGGGTTGTTTTTGCATGAGGAAGGATTATGCATGGCACTGACACCTTATTACTGGCTGAAACTCAAAGTCTTTACTAGTTAGGCTAGAACATTAAAAATGTCTTTTGATAATGATCTGAAAGGGAAATCAAGCAGATGGCTCTTAGGCCCATTGCACGATGCAGCTTTGCAGTGATATAATAGTTTCAGTAATGGGTTACAGAGTTTTATTTAAATCACTGCTGTTTAGTGGAAAGGGGTAAACCAGTTAGGGCTTTTTTGGGGTGTTGCTTTTCCTTTATTTTCTTCTCTCCTTGAAGTGAACCAAAGCACACGTTGAAGTACTGGGAATTTATTCTTTCCTCCCTTTTTATAGTTTGTCCATTACTTTGTTGCTGTTGTCTCTGGTTTTCCTATGGGTGACAGCTGCCAGCTTTCCGCAGCCTGTTTCCTGATGGACTCATTTACTATGTGTGTTGTAGAGGTGGTATTTATGTGCTTCAACCTGCTACCTATAGCTAGAGATCTCCTGTTATAGTGGGTTTATACAGTAAACAACAGCTTCTTGGGAGGCTTTGTGGAAAATCACAGGGAAGTAAGAATATTTCTCAGCCTCCAGGATGGATTAGATAGCTGCAGCCTGGGATGGCAGCTCCTCTTTGTGTGCTGGAAGGGCAGGGAACTGCAGGGCTCCCTTACTGAGAGCACTAAAGCAGCCAGTGTAGGCATAATCATCAACACCGCAGTTCAGATCTAAAGGCAGAGATGCAATAATTGGGAATTGTGGTGATTGAGACACAGCTCCCAAGCTTTTGAAGGGGCAGGAGCTGATTTTTGGAGTGCAGATGAAGAGATGTGTAAAAGGTGCAATGTGTTTGACATGTGTTTTATCACCCACTCTCTAAGGAGCAAAGCTCTTTAACCTGTTTCCATCTGAGCATTCAAGAAATCAGATGTGAAAGGTTCTTCTTCACTTCTGAACATTCAAGCCAAACAAATGCCAGACTTGTAGGCATGCTCATTTTTATAGTGATAACACCTTCCTCCTTGAAACATGCACTCAATCCTGCACTCTTCATTAGATATTAGTGAAATCTTTGGAATAAATATTGGATGTAGTTATCAGGTGCTCTAATTTCCAGCCCTAATTTCTGCTTTTAGCAGAAAATTATGGCACATTTGAAGACATAAATAATAAAAATTCAGCATATTAAGTCAAAAAATGAGAAGTAAAGGTGTGTTTACTCCAGCACTGCACTGATTCAGTATTTGCTAGGAGACCGATATCAGGTATGCCCCATTCTTCAGCACAGTAAATGCTTGGGATGATGTCTTTGTTTTTTTTTCATAAATTAATGCAACATCACGTCAAGAACTGGATGTGGAAACACTAAAGTGGCTTACCCTGGGTAAAAAACCTGGGTTTACAGTGTTTCATAGAATCCCAGACTGGTTTGGGTTGGAAGGGACCTTAAAGCTCATCCAGTTCCAACCCCCTGCCATGGGCAGG